TGGTGAATTTGAAAAATAAAAGGAAAGATCATTTAAATCCATCCTTACTGTTTTTCTGTTCCCTTGTCTCCACCCTTCCTCTGGTGTTCTCTCCCCTGCCAACCCTTACACCTTTACCACACTTTGATTATAGCTATATTTGACAGCGTAAGCAAAGCTAGTAAAAAATTTCTTCTCATTGACAAAACTTTCAACCGTGTAAACCACCATTTTGAGAATTGCTCATAAACGATAACGCATCTTTTTGTTCACGGATATGAGACGCATAGGAAAGAGCAATGATGGGATGCCAATTACAGAGCAGCCTTAGAACTCTGGAGCGAGCATGGGTCTTATTAAAGATGGCGGACCCTTTCCTAAATATGTCGGATCTATTGGGGAGGACTCTTGTGGGTTGACGGCTTACATCTACCTTTGAAATAAAATGATAATGGATTTTAGTACATGTAAAATCACTGTATATTCTAGTTACATTGCTCTCAGTTGATCCACGGGTTCACCATGTATATTAAGGTCATTTTGATTCTGTTCTCGGCGATCCATTTGAGTCCACAGGTAATATGTGGACCTTGCATTGTGCCTCCCTTTCTCTAGATTTGTTGAAATATATAGGATTTTTTTCAAGAGGCGAGTAGATGTTCTGCTTATTAATTCTTGGGTACTACCATGGAATGTAAAGTTAAAGAAATTACTAACAGATGATTTTTGCATTATGATTTGATTTCCATTAGAAGTATGCTTCTTAGCATGTGGTATCATAAGGAGAAGTTGGAAATTGATTCTTTCCGGGACTCTAAAATCCCAAACGTAGTCAGAAAAGGTACTCCGCTTCGTTTCTTCGAGGAACCCCGATGTATTACTACATTAACCATTCTTTGTTCAAGACGTAAAAATTCACTGGCTAATGGTCTGTTAGCTGAGAGATAAAATACACAGCTGGCAATATCTGGCGTTAATTAAAAAAGGATCTACTTCGTCCATCGTTGAAAGTGGATTGAGGCAAGGAAAACTCCTATCTCACGTT